ACCTGTCACACGGGTGGGGGTGGAGACACTCTGCGTGGTCCCCGTGGAGGAGGCACCTGTCGCACGGGTGGGGGTGGCCTGGCCTGTGCTGGGTGTGGTGATGGGGGGTCCGGGTGTGGTCTCGGAGGGCCTGGTGGGGAGCTCTGTGGCCTGAGGGGAGGCCGTGGGGTGCAGGGAGCGGGTGTAGGTGGTAGCCCTAGTGCTGGGCGTCACGGGGGTGGGCAGCAAGGTAGTCCCGAAGGTGGTCGTGTGCCCGTGTGCAGCTGAAGGGGCCGGGGTGGGGGCACCCGTCTGGGTCACGGCAGAGGGCCATGGCGCCGTGGCTGTGGAGCTGCTGGTGGCGGGCAGTGTGGTGGAGGTGAGGCGGGGGGTAGCCGTGGGGGGGCAGTGCCAGACATCATCGCAGCAGTACACACGGATGTTGTAGTTGAAGCACGTGGTGAACTTCCCCCTCTGGTCTTCGTTCCTGCAGACCAGCCCGACCTCCAGGCTGCAGCTGAGCACCTGCCCGATCTGATCAATGCTCACCTCGGGGTAGCTCTCTGCCCGGCATTCAATCTTCTGTGGCTGCTGACACACCTTGCCACCCGTAGCCCGGATGTTGTCATAGGTCTCCATGTCTCCGCCCCTGACCCCCGAGGTGGGGAAGTCCACATCAAACCACTCTGTCCATTGGCACTTGGGTTGACAACTGGTTGTGCTGGTGGTGGCCCCAGTGGTGCCCGTCGACACCAGGGTTTTCAGCGTGCTGGTCTCAGGGTGTGAGGTGGACGGCGGGCCCGTGGAGGTGGTGCCCGTTGTGCGCATTGCTGTTCCCGTCAGCAGCTGAGACGTGGAGGTTTGTGTCATCACCGACATCGGGGTGGGCCCCCTTGAGGCTGCGTGAGTCGGGAGGACCGACATGGCAGACACTGGGAGCATGCCTGTGTGGCTGGGCCTCGAGGATGTCACTCGGGCTGTCAGTCCCGTGGAAAGGGAAGGTGCTGGTGTGGCACTGCTGGCGGGGGACCTGGTCACCCCTGTGCTCCCCAGCCATGTTGTGTGTGGCGTGGCTGGTGGCACAGCGGTGGTGGTGCTGGAGGCCGTGGGGGACGTGGTGGCTGTGGTAGCAGAGGTGGCCACTGTGGCAGTGGCAGCAGTGGAGGTGGCTGCAGTGGTGACTGTAGCGGTGGAGGTTGTGGCAGTGGATGTGGTGGCAGTGGGAGCTGTAGAGGTGGCCACAGTGGGGGCTGTGGCAGTGGAGGTGGTGGCAGTGGAGGTGGTGGCAGTGGGAGCTGTAGAGGTGGCCACAGTGGGGGCTGTGGCAGTGGAGGTGCTGGCCGTGGTGGCTGTGGCATTGGATGCAGTGGCAGTGGTGGTGGGGGATGTGGGCTCCCCGCAGTGGCTGTACCCACAGCACAGCACGCGGATTTTGTAGTTGTAGCACATCTTGAACAGGCCCACCTGCTCGTCGTTCCTGCAGACCAGGCCGAAGCTGACGTCACAGTGCACGCGCTGATTCAGCTCCTCCAGCCTCACGTTGGGGAAGTTTTCGGCCTGGCACTCTATGCCCTGGGGCTGCTCGCACACGGCCCCTCCCGCACGCCTGATCTTGTCGTAGGACTCGACGTCCCCTCCGGCCTTTTCGGACTTGGGGTAGTCCTCGTCAAACCACTCTGTCCACTGACAGCGGGGCTCACAGGTGGTGGTGGCCGGGACCACAGAGCTGCTGCCCACTCGGGTCATGGTTGAGGTGGACTTGGTGGATGGTGTCTGTGAGGTGGAGGCCGCCGTGGACAGGAGGGAGGTTCCTCTGGTGGGTGTGGTCTGGGTGGAGGATGGCCGCTGGCTGGCGCCCGGGGCCGGGCTGGTGCTGCAGGGCACGTAGCCGCAGCAGAGGACCCTCAGCTCGTAGTTGTGGCAGAGCAGGGTGTTCTGCTCTCTGTTGAGGCAGGTCAGCCCCCGGGCCTGGCCACACTCCACCTTCTGACCCAGCTTCTCCAAAGGCGTATCCGGGAACTGCTGGGCCCGGCACTCGACATGCGCTGGGGCCGGGCAGAACTGGTAGCCCCTCTGCCTCAGGTTCTCGAATGTCTCGAAGTCGCCCCCTTCCGTGCCCGGCTCTGGACGTCCACTGTCGTACCAGTCAGACCAGCGGCAATGCTCCCGCACGCACACGGTGGAGGGTGTGGGGACCGAGCCTGTGGGTGGGGTGCCGGGGTCCCCATCAGCATCCTCTGTGTCCTCGCCGGCCCAGAGGAGAGGTGACTCATGTCCCCTTGCCCCAGCGTTGGCCCCGGGCCATCCTTTGCACCCAGGACACCTGTACCAGGTGCCCACTGGGTTCTCCCTTGGCACCCAGACCATCACCGGGGTCAGGGGCTCTGGTGAGTGAGGCAGGACCGGTGGTGTGTCTGCCAGGCTTACCCGTGGTGGAGGGTGGAGCCGCAGTGCTGGTGAAGGTGAAAGGCATTGTGGGTGTGGTTCCGGGGCACTCCTCGGCCTTTCGGACGATGGTTCCATTGTCTCTGCAGATGGCAATCAGGCAGGCGCCCAGCCCGTCGGTCGTGTTGTAGATGACGTCTCCGTAGGCATAGGTTCTGCCCTCGTAGGTGCACGTACAGGCTGGAGACGGACAGGTACAGGGCTCATTCAGAGCCCCCAGCCCCCATCCCTCAAACCAACAGGCCCCCGCTTACCCGCGGGGCTGTATGTGCACTGCAGGCCTCTGGAGGTGCAGTCGCTGGGAGGGAGAGAGAAGAGCTGAGGGCCAGCAGGGCGCAGGCCTTACCGTGTGCGCCCGGCCCTGCTTCCTGTCCTCCCAGACCCCACTCCCGCTCCGCCACTGGCTCACCAGCTCCGGCAGTTCTCCGCCGTGGGGACCCTGGTGCCAGCATCATAGTAGTTTCCATCCTCGTCGTAGCAGCCCTCACACTGGGCCACGCACTTCATCTGGTCCTCATTGAAGAATGGCTTGCTGGGTGGGCACTTTGGGTAGCAACCTGGGGCGGGCACAGGGCAGGGAGAACACTCCCCTCTCAGGCCAGGCGGTGGGGCTGCCCCGGCCGCCACCCATCTCTGTCCCCCCGTCCCGAGGGTGGGCATGGGGAGGCAGGAGCCCCCTTGCCCCGCTGCCTGCAGCTGTGCTGGGGTGACGAGGCATGGCCTCCCTGGAACAGCCTGCCCTCACCTTCCAGGCCTGGCAGGTCCATCAGGCAGTGCCCGCGGGGATTCCGGCAGGTCCTCAGGCAGGGGTCCCCGCAGGGCTGGTAGCTCCACTCGCACTCCCCTTGGGGGTTGTAGTAGTCGCAGAACAGGGCTGAGTGAGGGGGAGAGAGGCTGTGGGCGCCCGCCGGGCCCCGTCACCTCACTCCTCCCAGGTCCGAGGGGTCTCAGGGCCTGCCCCCCAAATTCCTGTCCCCCGCTGAGCCATCCCATTTGGGGGCGACCTCTCTGTCTGGTTTGTACGCACACGCACGTGAGCACGTGCGTGTAGTACACACGTGTCACGTGTCCTTATGTGTGCATGCGTGCCCGTCAGGCCCCAGAGCTGGGGCAGCTGCGCCTCATGCCGCCACCATGGCCAGAGCCCGACTCACGGCAGATGTCCGGGGTCCGCCAGGACGTGCACACGCCCGCTTCGTGGCAGGCCTGGGCGTAGGCGGCCACGGCCGTGCAGAAACACTCGCAGTCGCCCCCCGAGTCGCAGGCGCACGCGTCGCTCACGCAGGCCTCGTAGTACCTGGTGGAGTCGACCTGGGGGGTGGGGTCTGCTCAGTGAGAAGAGCCAATCCCCGGCCCCTGGGCAGCCGGCTCCCGATCTGCACGGCAACCCCCCACCTGCCGTCTGCGACGCGCCCACCTGGGCACCCACCCCTGCCACTCGTCCCTCGCCTCTGCTCGGCCACTCACTTAGCTGTAGGCCAGCCCTCCCTGTGACCGTGCTGTGACCTGTCCTGGCAAACGGGGTGCTGTCTCCTCAGGGGGAGGGGTGCCCCCGCTCCTCCCTCCCAGGCGGCAGAGACCAGGGCCACCGTGTCTCGCATCTGCCACCACGGGTGGCACCGTCCGAGGTGGAGACTGCTGTGTCAGGTTCACAAAGGACTTTCTGAGCCAGCGGGCAGGGCACCCGGGGTGCGGGCGGGGGCTGCGAGCCCGGCGGGACGCGAGGCCTCACGCAGGCTGGCCAGCGTCAGCCGCGGACCAGTCCCACTACGCCGCATGCTCGGCACCCGCGAGTCCCGGATCACGAGACCGAGTCGGTGAGTGGGCCCTGCGGTCCTTGTTAAGTAGCAGGAAGGGCTTCGGGGAAGGCTCTCAGGCTGTGGCAATCCTCCGCTTCCGTGGGGCCCGGCTGGGCTGAGGCCCCCTGAGGTTTCTGTCCGTGCTGGGGGCTGGCGGCTCAGGGAATGTGGGGGAGGACCGAGAGGTGACATTGAGGTCCTCCCTGGGTGGCTCGCAGCCCCGTTTCCAGGGGATGAGGCTGAGTGCCATCAGGGAAAGCAGAGCAGGACTGGGGACGTGGGCACCTGCCTGGTGGGAGGTCCACACAGTGTGCCGTGTACAATGGTCAGGGTCAAGGCCGTCTTCGGAGGACAGGCCTGGGCCAGACCCAGGTCCCTCCAGGAGGGAAGGAGGCAGCCCCAGCACCCCCTTGGCCCACCTGAGAATGGCAGGCGCTGAAGGTGACACCCTTGATGATGCTGCACTGCTTCTGGGCCCAGGACTTGCGGTACGGGTTGGCAGTGCAGGGGTCCTTGGGGGCCTGGGCGTCCGGGCAGGACGGGGAGAATTTCCAGCTGTTGCCGAACTCCAGCACGTCGCCCACCACAGACTGGCTCCGCGTGGTGAAGTCGTTGAGGGCGTTGTCATCAAAGTTCCCACACAGCCCGCAGACCCTCCCCTGCAGATGGACGCAGAGATAGGCACAGGGTGGGGCTGCATGGGGTGGCCTGAGGGAGCAGCACAGAGCCTGGCCTGGGAGGCGTGACTGCAGGCCACCCTATTCCCCCAGTGAACTTTCAGGAAGGCGGGGTGCACGAGGAGTCCTGCAGTGGGCAGGAAGGCAGGTGGGCAGGTGGATAGGCAGATGGACAGGCGGACAGGTGGGCAGGTAGACAGGTAGAAAGGTAGGCAAGTGGACAGGCAGGTGGGCAGGTGGACGGGTAAACAGGTGGGTAGGCAGGTGGGCAGGTGGATAGGCAGGTGGGTAGGTAGACAGGTGGGCAGGTGGATAGGCAGGTGGGCAGGTAGACAGTGGGGCAGATGGACAGGCAGGCAGGCCGGTGGACAGGTGGGCAGGCGGACAGGTGGGCAGGCAGGTGGGCAGGTAGACAGGTAAGCAGGTGGACAGAAAGGCAGGCAGACAGGCAGGCAGGCACCTGCTCCCCTATAGAACCTTAGCCCAGCGGGCATGGAACAGCTGAGTGCAGAGACCAGGGAGCCACGAGCGCTTTCCAACCAGGACTGACACGCCCACTGGTCGGTTTGGTCTCAACATGCCCCTTTGGGAAGCGGACATTGTGCATGGCCTCCCCAGCCCTCAGCAGTCCGTCAGCTGCCAGATTGCACTGCTGGGCCAGGTCTAGGAGTAAGAGCTCTGTCCCTCCCCAAGGGGGTCCCGCAGCCTGCCACCCCCACCTTGTACTCCTGGTGCAGCCGAATAAACACGCTGGTCTTCCGGTCCCAGGACACGACCATGCCACTGCGGGTCTCGATGGCCAGGTAGATGCCCATGTAACGGATCTTGTAGGGCAGGTGTCCGCCTGGCCCCCTCTGCACCACCTTGTGGGAACCCTCGTGGAGGATCAGCTCATAGTTCTGCAGAGGGGCACGGGGAGGCGGCGGCTGCAGGGAGCTGAGGGGCCAGCTTTGGAGCCGGAGCCCCCTTCCCCCCGTGGCCCAGGACAGGGGCTCTGTGGGTGCTCAGGGTCCCAATGCATGGGGCTGGCGTCAGGAATGAGCCGGACTCCTGACACTGTCTGCGAACTTGAGATGAGAGGCTGGGAGCCCGCACAGGTGTGTGGGAAGTTGGGAGCTGTGGGCAAGCAGAGTGGGGCGGAGGGCACAGGAGCTGCAGGAGACCAGCCGGCCCCATCTCGGGCCTGCCACCCATGCTTCTGCTGCCTTCCTCACGCCTCTCCCCACCTTTGGGGCGGGTGGGAAGCGGCCCCCAGTCAGCAGCTCTGCTCTCTGCACTGTGAACTCTGACCACCCTCTGCTAGAACTGGTCACCCCAGGTGTGGGGGGCTGAATGAAGGCCCCCCAAAAAGACACATCGAGTTCTAACCCCCAGAATCCGCAAATGTGCCCTGATTTGGAAAAAGGGTCTTTGCAGATGTGATGAAGTGAAGGGTCTGGAGGTGAGACCGTCGTGGATTTAGGGAGGGCCCAGATCCAGGGACGGGGGTTGCTACCAGGTCAGACAGGGGAAAAGGACACAGAGAAGGGGCCGTGTGAGGACAGAGCAGAGATCGGGGGGGACACGGTCACAAGCCAGGAGCCCCCAGAATCTGGATGAGGCAGGAAGGACCCTCGCCTGGAGCCTGTGGCGGGAGCCTGGCCTCAGAACCATGAGAGAATTAATTTCTCAGGTTGCAAGTCCCCGGGCTGTGGCTGGTACTGTGGCCCTGAGACCCGAGGCCACAGCTGGAGGTCCAGGGGCCCCGGCTGGGACTCCAACGGGGCTGCAGAGGGAGGGAGATGGTTCCCAGGTGCCCCCACCTCCAGGAAGATCTTGATGGCCTTGGAACAGGTGACGCCTGTGGTCCCGCAGGGGACGTTCTCGGTGACGATGCGGAAGCTCCCGTTGCTGGCGTCGTTGCCCGCACAGTAGTCCTGGGAAGGGGAGGAGAGGGACGTGGTCACGGCCCCAGGGCCAGCTCGCTGGCCGGGGGCGGGCGAGGGGCTATGTACCTGGGCCAGCATGTGCTGGCCGAGGGAGGGGGGCCACGTACCTGGGCCAGCGTGTACTCACAGCTCCCCTCAAAGCTGTAGCGCTCGCCGTCAAAGGTGATGAAGTGGCCGTCCCCGTAGGCCACGCAGGTGCCCAGGCAGGGCCGGCGGCTGCACTCCCACCTGCGGCCCCTGCAGGTGCTGCAGGGGAGGGGAGGTGATGCCCTGCTCAGGGGGCCGGGCCAGGAGACCACCTCACCAGGCAGCCGTGGCCGAGCCCGTCACGACTGTGACAAGGAGGAGGACGCAGTGCCTCTTCCATAAAACAGGAGTGCGGTGGTGCCCCTCCCCAGGCTGGAGGGGTTAGACGGAGCAGGGAGCTTGGGGCACGTGGGATCTGACACTCCACCCCCGAGTTGGGCTCCTGTCTGCAGGCTCCCCTAACCCTTGGCGCCTGGGGTGCAGGGCCCACGGCCCTGGGGGCAGCTTCAACAGGCCCTGCCGTCTGCTGGGCAGAGAAGGCCAGTCCCTGGGCACCTTCCAGAGGACGAACGGGCCACCCAGGGTCTTCCAGGCCTCAGCTCCTCTCCGGCCTCCTGCCAAGGGCATCCTGACCGAGGCCCGCTCGGGCCGCTGTCTCCGTGGCCTCCGCCCACACCACCCCCTCCGCGGCCCCTCCACACACCAGGTGTTACAGTCGACCCTGATGGTCTCCCCAGGCTTGTACGCGGCCTCGTTGTGCAGGCAGGGGCAGTCCTCCTCGGCCACACAGCCCCCGCTCCCATCGGCCAACAGCCCCGCGGGGCAGACGCAGCCCGACACGCAGCGCGTGCTGAACTGTGGACAGGCAGACGCCCATCAGCGGCTCGTCCGGCTCGGCTCGGGGACACCAAGGGGCAGGGGACGCTGCCCCCCACCCTTGGCCCCGGGCAGCACTGCCGTGCCCTCCCAGCTGACTCACACAGTCCACGTCCAGCACGTGGCAGCTCCGCACACACTCGGCCCCCCGCGTGTCCGCGGAGGCGTTGCTACAGTCCAGGAACAGCATGGGGGCCACGCACCCTGAGGAGGAGACCACGCTGGGTGGGCCGCCCGGCCCGGCAGCAGCCCCTCCCCTTGGTCGTTGGGGGGTGGTGCGGGGCCCTGACGGGGGGAGGCCCGGGGCGGGGGTGGGTAGAACCTGTGCTCTGCTCCACGGCTCCCAGGCAGCTCAGCTTCCCGCTCACACATGAACTACAAGAGATGAGAACGATGGCCGGTCTGGGCAGCTGCCCGCTGCCCCACAGACCTCACCCAGATCTCGGCTGGCTGGGCCCCCGGGCCTTGTCATGAGGGGAGGGAGGCGCCTGCTCTGGGGTACGGTGAGGGCCCCAGATCCCCGCGAACGCACTGAGTGAATGAGCAGAGGTGCCAGGAAGGTACCTGGAGTCGGGCGGGAGGGGGTGGGGGAGGCCAGGACAGGGGTGCACCCAGGTGGGCCCTCCAGGGCACACACCGTGCCCCCCACGGGCCTCAGACCCTTGGAACACCTTCCCGGGCCAGAGGAGGGGTCCCTCTCAGAATGGCTACGGGGTGCACGGGGCTGAACTTCCCTCCCCAGGGTGTCCTCTGTGTTTTAAAGTCCCCTGGGGGAGGCACGGAGATCTTTGTGTGTGGAGCAGGCGGGTTGGGGGGCATGACATCGGGGAGGGGGTGACAGTGGGGAGGGGCCTCACCACACCACACCGTTGTCGTGCAGGACCTCCCCTGGAGCCAGCACAGAGCCATGCGAGTAGCAGGGGCAGGCCTCGGCAGGCACGCAGCCACCGCTGTCGTCCAGGAAGGTGCCCGAGGGGCAGGTGCAGCCGTCCACAGGCACGAAGGCCACATCGCAGGTGACATCAGCCTGGCTTAGGGAGCGGCAGGTGGGCTGGCAGCTGTCCACCACATAGGCGTAGCTCTGGGTCTTGGGGCAGCTGCTCATGTACTTGTCTGGGGGCCGGCAGGTTACATACAGGTCAGTAGCCGGGCAGCCCGTCCAGCCCCGCCTGACCACATCCAAGCTGGGGCTGGAGCGGCCCGAGACTTGGCTTCCCCTCTGGACGGGGTGGGGAGGCCTAAGGCTCTCACTGAGGACAGGTGGTGGGGTGCGCCCCAGGGTCTCCGGTCCCCCCGCATCCCCACCCCGTGCCCCATCAAGCTGGCTGGCGGACACTCACTGCACACGCCGTCCCGCCAGCCACCGAGCAGCACGCCCCGGGCGGCGCAGGCCCACACGTAGGAGGACAGGGCCGCGCACATGCAGTCCTCACTCTTCTCACAGTTGCACGTGTCAAACATGCAGTTCTGGGGGGGCACTGGGATGTCAGGGACCCCAGCCCACCAGGGACCCTTCCCTCCGTGTCCATCCTTCCTGGGACCCCCGTCTGGGCCAGGAGACAGAGGGCAGCGGGGCCTCCCGCGGGGAGCTTGGTGTAAGACCACGGTGGTGGGGGGGGCGGGTGGGAACATGCTGCTCTGAGGGATGGGAGAGGCCAGGCCAGGCTGAGGACAGGGTCCAAGGGAGGGGTCTCTGCGGGACCAGGACAGGGCTCGGCTTGAGTTCTAGATCCGTCATTGGCTGAGCTGCATGTGGGGGGAGACTGAAGGCCAGAGATGTCTGGAGGTGAGTTGGCCGGGAGGGTGCTGGCACGGGGTGCAGCCCCCCAAAGTGGGCCTGGGTCTTCCAGCTGTGGACACACACTTCCGGGGGCTGGAGTCACTGAGCGTTAGGGCTTTGGCTTCCAGAGAAGCGGCCTGTGAGCCAACTGTCAGGTCGAGTTGTGTCCCCCCCAAAGGATGTGTCCACGTCAGGACCCCAGGGCCTGTGAACGTGGCCCTGTTGGAAACAGGGTCTTTGCAGATGTGACAAAGTTAGGATGAGGTCATTAGGGTGGGCCTGGACCCACACACCTGGTGTCCTTATGGGAGAGCTTTGAACCCAGACACACAAGGAGGAGGCCACGAGGCAGAGGCTGGGGTGATGCAGCGTCGTGGCCCCCAGAAGCAGGAGAGGCAGGAAGGACCCCCGGGGGACCCTCTGCCAGCACCATGATCTTAACCTTCAGGCTCCAGGACCTGGGCAGTGGGTAGATGCCTCCAGCCGTCGGCCCCCCCAGTCTGTGGCCCTTTGGTGCAGCCGCCCCAGGCACCGAACACACCGGCAGCGGCCATGTCCCTAGAGTGGGATGTCCCTCGGCCACGGAGGTGTGGGCGGTGCTGAGAGAGGGAGCTGGGAGCGGGGCATGTCCTGCCCGCAGCACCCCACCCCACCCAGGGGCTGGCCGGGGGTCTCACCGAGTGGAAGGGCCCAGGGCTGATGACAGAGTGGCAGGACGAGAAGGCCCCAGCAGGGTCGGTCAGCACAGAGCACCAGCGCCGGGCGTAGTTCTCTGGGGAGGGCAGGCACGCGGACCGTCGCGGGCGCAGCTCAGCGGTCACTGGCGTTCCTCCCACACCTCCTCCCCTGCACCTGCCCACCCGCCCAGCCTCCGCTCGGCATACGCAGGCCCTGTGGGGGCCGCTCTGCTGGGGGAACCGAACCGGAACTGGGGGCTCACCAGCCGTGCCGCATGGGCCCAGCTCACAGGGCAGCGGGCGCCCCCCCGGGGGTGGGCCTGCAGCCTGTCGGTGACCCCGCACCCCGCCCCGCTCACCCCCCAGCCCCGGCCACCCTGGAGCCCGGGTGAGACAGACGGGCACCTCCCAGGCCCGGCCGCAGGGTAACCCGAGGCCCCCCACCCCCAGGCTGGGGATACCGTTCTCCACGCTGAGGGAGCAGGGGTCCTCAAAGCTGTTCTTGATGTTGGGGCAGGCGGCCTGGGTCTTCCAGCTGTTGGCGAAGGCGGCGGCCGTGCCCTCCACCACGCCGCTGATGGTCCGGAAGTCGTCGGCCTGGTTCTGGTTGAAGTTCCCACACAGGCCTGGGGGCGGGGGGGTGGGCATCAGCGGGCCGCCCAGCTCGGCCCAGGCTCCCGGGAGCCTGCAGGTCCTACAGGCACCACCACACCGTGGCCCCGCCGGAGAGCCCCATCCCAGGATGTTGGTTCCAAAACCATCTGCAGATGAGCTCTGGTGGGGGGCGGGCAGCCCCCACATGAAGCCTGCTGTGAGGGCAGCGTGTCCTGCTCTCCATCCTCCCGGCCCGCCTTCTGGGGCCGGGGTCCCTGCTGCGCCCGGGGAACCGCTGACTCCCCAGTCCCCGCCTCTGGCCTGACTGCCCACCCCCCGCTCCCCCCCACCGCCCCGCCCCCAGCCCCCCAAGCCCGCCGCTGGCCTCACCACACATCCTGCCCTGGTAGGAGGGGTCCAGCCTGAGGAACACCTGCATGAGGGGCGCCAGCTGTACCTGCAGCTGCATCCCGAGGCCCGTGTGCACCAGGATGAAGAAGGATGACGGCCTGGAGACAGTGGCGTTGGCTGCGGGTTGGGGGGGACGGTCAGAGGCTGCCGTGCTGACCAGCCAAGCCTGAGCCGAGGGCTCGGGGGGCTGCCCGGCAGGAACCCCAGCCGCCCCTCCAGGGCCCGGGAGCTGGACAGGAACTCGCATGTGTGCTCGGGCCGTGACCGCTGACGCTGCTGTGAGGCCGGGCACCGAGTATGCGCCACACGGGTCCCCACGGAGTCACAGATGAGGCCCGTGACAGCCCCACCTTGCAGGTGGGAACCCAGCCCTGGGCCTTTCCGGGACTCCCAAGGCCACAAAGAGCTGGCGAGGGACTCTGCTCGCTCGGTGCCGCCACCTAGAGGTCCCGCCTGGCCGCCGCAGGGCCCGTTCCCTGGGGGCCACATACCCACTGCCGCGGGCAGCTGCGTGTAGATGGAGTTCACGAACACCCCGCCGTTGGCCTGGACCTGGATGGTCTGGGGAGAGGAGGCGGGGCCGCGGTCAGCGTGGGGCGGAGCCCGGCCGGCCAGCCTGCGGAGGGCCGCTGCCACCGCGCCCCCCCCACCCCCAAGCCGGGCCCTCACCGTGTCGCCTCCGTTCAACCACAGCATCACCGTTCTGAGGCAGTTCTCGTTGTCCGTCAGGCCGCATTTCCGCAGCTCGGCCAGCACGGTGAGGGCATTGCCTGCACATATCTGACGGCACAGAGCCCACCCGTGTCCTGGGTCGGCCAGCCCCCAACCCGGGCAGGGAGGGACTGTGTGTGTGTGGTGCCCTGTGCCCAGGAAGCCCCTGCAGGGTCGGGGGCCTCTGGCACCTGGTCACCTCTGGGCAGCTTGTCCAGACCTGGGAGCCCCTTGGCCCCCATGAGTGTGAGCTTCCTCTCGGAATGGAACCCCAGGGGACTTCACCGCTCGGATGGCCGTCATGGAACCCCTCCTGGGGTGGAGGAGGACGGAGGGTCCCGGGAGGGCCCAGCAGGCGGGGCTCACCTTGGTTAGGACATAGCTGCAGTCCCCGTGCACGTCGTAGAGTTTCTCATCGTAGGTGGAGATGTGGGACCCGCCCTGGACGGAGCAGATGCCCGGGCACGGGAGGTCCTGGCACTGCCATAGTCCCCCGGAGCAGGTGCTGGGGTGGGGAGCCGTGACAGAGGGGCCATGGTGAGGGGGAGGTGAGCCCCACGCGGGGCAGGGGCGGGGCCGGCCGGGAGACCTACCAGGAGCTGCAGCTGGTGGCGAAGGAGGCCCCTGGGGCGTAGGGGCGGCCGCCGTGCATGCAGGGGCACTGCCGCAGGGGCAGGCAGCCCGAGTGGGTGACGTCGTCCATCACCGTGCCTGGGGAGCAGCGGGGGGGGGCGCACAAGTGGTCAGCGGAGGCTGGGCTCAGGCGTTGGAAACACAGCGACCGGATGGGGGCAAAGGCCCAGGTAGGGGGCGGTCCCCAAGGGCCCGGAGGACCTGCCTTGGGGGCAGAAGCAGCCGTCGACGCAGTGGTCCTCGCAGAGCTGGGAGCGCTCAGGGTTGGAGCAGGTGTCCGCGCAGGGTGAGCCGCACTCCTGGTATTGCATGTTCAGGGGGCACGTCTGGGCTGTGGGGAGAAGGACAGGGCTTGGCTCCAGGAAGCCACCCTGCTCCTGCCTTCCATGTGCCACCAAGGGTCCCCAAAGGGGCGCCTCTTGCCCCATCTAGCCATCTTCTGAGTGAGGCGGAAGGAGAGAGGAGCGTGGGGCCCCGAGCCTCCGGGGGCAGCCCCCCCGCCCCCACCTGGGTTCAGGGGTGAGCCCAGCTCAGTGTGCCCAAGCCAGGTCCTCCCTCTGGGCCCTCGGGGGCCCGCAGGCCTTTCACATTCCCCTCTGATCTCCTGCCCATCCTCTCACCGTAGGCCCCCCGAGGGGCTCCACCTGCCCGGATCCCCAGCCAGGTGCCAGGTGTCCTTCCTGAGGGTCGCCTCCCTCACACTCTCCCCAGGGACCCAGTGTGGGTGCAGGGCCTTGGGCTCCTCCCCAGTGCATGGGGGCACTCACGGCAGAGGTCAGGGCCCCTCCAGCTCTGCGGCTGTCCCCCGGCGTGGGCACACTGGCGAGAGTACTCCGCGAAGGTGGCACATGGGCAGGTGGGGCAGCGGCACAGGTCCTGGGTGCAGGTGGCCACGTACACCTCGGCATCCACCAGCCTGTGGCACTGAGCAAAGGCTGGGCCCAGCAGGGTGTGGCGACAGATGCCCTCCTGGTGAGACAGAGGCTGGAGGCTCTGTCCTCTGTGCGGTATCGGTGGGGACCCCAGCCCTGCAGCCTTTCCCCAGGCCAGGAAGCCGCCTTCCCCCGAGGTTCCAGCCGGCCAGCCAGCCACCTGCTTGCCCATCATCCATCACGCATCCATCTTCTCATCCCTCCATCCCTCCATCCACCCATCTGTCCTTCCATTCCTCTGTCCATCTGTCCATCCACATATCCATCCATCCATCCCTCCAGCCAGCCACCCATCCTTCTGCTCAACTACTGAGAACTTGCTACTGCTCTGTGCAGAGCTCTGCTTGGTGACCCACGACCCTGGACTCCCTGCACCCACCCCGGGCTCCAGGACACACCTGCCCACGGTGCGCGTGCCCAGGACGGGTGCAGACCCCATGCTGGAGGCGGCTCAGAGAAGGGGGAGGCGGAGGTGCCCACCGTCAGCCAGCCCCAGCAGGGTCAGTGCCGACCTGTCGATGACCGTCCCCCTTGTTCAGCCCCCACCCCTGACTAGCTTCAGTTCCCCATTTAAGCCTCGTGGATTCTGCTGGTTTTGGGGATCCTGGAGCTGCTAGGCCACTTCCAAAGGTGGGGTCCTCCCAGCACATCGGAAGGGCTTTTGCTCTGGGCTTCCTGAGTGCCCCCCTCTTGGTGAGACTGTGTTTGGGGGGGCACGTATTTGCAGGGGTTGCGGGCAGGCACTCACCTCATCCGTGCAGTTGTCAGCTGGGGAGGGCAGGGGGTCCTGGCACTGCTCCGTGGGCCCATCCAGCTTCTGCAGGTTCCCAAACTGTAGAGGGGTCAGCCTGGCATCTGCAGAGAGGAGGCACTCCGTGCAGGGGCCCGGAGGGGCTCTGGGGGCAGAGCTCCCGCCCATGCTCAGGACCCCCGAAACTTCCCTCTGGGGCATCACTGGAAGCGTTGCCACCCCCTGATTTGCTCCCTGCCCAGCGTCCCGACGAGGCCCCCACCCTGCGCCCCAGCCTCCCTGGGACCGTCCAGCCTGGGCTCGGCCACCTGCTGCGCACTCACTGTGGGCATAGAACTCGTTGATGGCCGGGAGCCCGTTGAAGTCCCCGCACAGGCCGCAGGTCTGGTTGGCATACCTGGGGTCCAGCTCCAGCTGGGGGCGGGGGAGGGGCAGCTCTAGCTTCTGCGGGCCCGGCAGGGCCCCAGCCCCCATCCACCCAGCTCCTGCAGGGCTCCCCCTGGGTGGGGAGGGCGTCGGGGTGGGCAGCCTCACCAGGGCACTGTCCTCTCCATTCCACGTGAAGGTTAGCATCAGCCGGACGTTGATCTTGACGTAGGCACTGCTCTCCTCCACCAGGAGGCCGGCGCGGCTGTAGGGCAGCTCCTCCCTGGGCCGGAAAGTTCGGTGCTCCCACAGGTCCAGCGCCCTCCCCGCCAGCTCTGAGCCCAGCCCACCCTGGAGCCTGGCCCCTCCACACCCAGGCAGGCTCACCGCCTCCCGTTGACCAGGATGGACCCGTTGGAGACCTCCAGCACCAGCCCCTGCGTCTTAAGGGTGATGTGGGTGACCGTGGGCCTGGAGCCCACCAGGCCGCGGCGGAGCTGGAGGTTGAAGTCCTCGTAGGCGGCACCGCAATGCGCGGAGAAGACGTAGTTGCACAGCCCGGGGAAGCGGAAGACGTCGCCGTCGAAGGTCTTGTAGTGGAAGTCGCCCCACGTGCTGCACACCTGCCCGCCGTGCGCCGCGTTCAGGGCTGTGGGGAGTGCGCGGTGGGGGAGGGCAGCCTTCCCTGGGACCAGGCCCCCGGTTTCGGGGTGGGGAGCCGCCGCCCCCTTCCTCACTCCCCTCTGCTCCAGATTCTCCCATTCCTCTGACACCAGCACCCGGGTCAGCCCCCAGCAGAACCATCTACAGGGATGGCTCCCAGCCACGCCCAAGGCCCGGCTCCAGCCAAGCTCCAGCTTCCCGGCTGCCCACACTGTCCCGGCTTTATCCCCAGGTCTGTGACCACCCCCTGAGGCTGGCAAACACCCCTGCCCCTGTGGGCAATGGGCGGCAACCACTTACAGCTCATGGTGGGGAAGCCAGTGATGGGCGGGATGAAGGTCACACGCCGGGCTGCAGAGTGAGCTGGGTCACACCCGAACATGGCCGGGCAGGGACCAGCCAGGACACCCCTTCCCAGGACTGCCGTCCTCCTCACTGGCTACCCCGGGGCAGCAGGGAGCCGCAGGCCAACCCTGGCCCAGCCAAGGGAGCCCAGGACTAACACTGTCCCCTCCAGGACCCTATCCATCTGCCCAGGACACACTCCTGCCCAGGTCTGTGTGTTTCCCCGATTGTGTGTGTGTGTGAGCATGTGAGTGTGTCCACGCCTGCGAGTGAGTGGGTGGGCATTCATGTAAGCACAGACGTGTGGGTGTGAACATGTGTGTGCACACGTGTGTGAGTGCATGTGAGCATCTGAGCCTGTCTGCTCGGTGCCTTTGTTTTCTTAGGCCCCCTCCGCTTCCCGTCCTGTGGGCAGATGGGATCCAGGAGGGTCTCTATGTGGCATGTAGCTAATGTGGCAAAGGGTCCACCCCCCACCCCTGCCCAGATCCCCTGCCAGCTCCGTGTGGGGCCCTTTCTACCACTGTCCACCCTCTCACCGTTCATGGTAGCCTCCTGACTCGCCCAGCTCTGCTCCACACTGCCCTGGGTCTCTGTGGGAAAAGGGAAACGGAGTCCATGAGAAGCCTGACATCAGCCACCTGTCCCTTGGTCTCCAAGGGCTGCAGGATGGTGGCCACGTGAACAGCACCCGATGCTGGGATGGGAGCTTCGGCAGGGAGCTGACCCGCCCTCCCCATCTGCACCGCATCTCGCTGTGGCTCAGGGTAGAATGGAATCAGGAAAAGCTGTTGGCCTCACTGACCCCAGGCCACCCCAGGGAGAGCGTTCGGCCCCGTCCACACATCCCTCAGAGAAGGACAAAGCCTGGCTTTGTTGGGGAGAAGGACACACACGGCTGGGGAGGCTCCTGGGCATCACTTAGCAGAAACCCAAGACCAGAGCCAGCTCCACCTTAGAACTACCAGCCGTGGCAGGTGGGAGACCTGGGGGGCCCAGTGCTGGCACGGCTCCCCAGGTCACCTGTGTGTCCCCCGCCACCAGGCACAGCCCTCCAGTGTCCAGGTGCCCCCACAATCTTGATGGACAGGACTGTGCCCCACTCCAGGCCCCTCTGTCTCAGGCTCAGGCTGGGGCACCCCGTTCTTGGGCTGGCGCCTCCAAATTCCTTCATCACGTCTGTGGGGGCCTCCATGCTCGGCCGAAGCCTGCGCCTCTTCGGGAGTGGGAGGGGCAGCCCCAGGGGTCCCCATGTCCCTGGTGGCGCTGGGGCTCGGCTCTGCAGCTACCATGACAGCCTCCACTCCCTGTGCGACTTTCCCGTCTGGGACACTGACATGGGAACCACAGGGACTGGCCTGGAATTTCTCTCTCCTCTTAAGGGCCCTAGTTGACTGCATTTCCCAGAAGCGTGGCTGCTCCCCCGTCCGCCCCTGACCCCCGACCTGCGGCCCCTCCCACGTGTGTCCGCTGTTGTACCCACCCCATGGTCGAGAAATCAAGGGGCTTCACATGGACAGGCTCACATGGCACACCCTCCTCGGGCCAGGTGACTGCCCAGTGAACCTGGATCCAGCGCTTGGCCAGAGAAATGCCTGCTGTTGACCACCCCATCACGCTGCAGTCTGGGTGCACATCCCCCTGATGGGAAGCCCCCCCACGCAGGGCCCAACCTCACCCACCCCTAAGGGGGCTTCAGCCCAGGGGACACCCATTTGAGGCAGGAGATAGATAGGCTCCAGGCTAGATGTTTACAACCAGCCTCCTGTTTACATTTCCCGAGGCAGGAGGCAGGTGGGCTCCAGGCTAGATATTTACAACCAGCCTCCCGTCTGTACTTGGAGATGGAAATAACAGGAACAGGGTAAAAAGCTGGACTTTGCTTCTGGTGGACGCCTTAAGGTAACAGTCATGGCAGGAGCAGAGAGGGGCTAACCCTTGTTTGAGGAAAAGATCAAGAGATCACGTATTTCCCATCCCTGGGGCAAGGGAGACACTGCACACGTGCAGAAAGGCTCCCTGGGGGTCAAAAAGGAGGGGGCGCCACCCCCTAATAGGTGATGCCAAGGCCTCCCATAGGCCTCTGGGCTGGGATCCATCTTGGCTAAAGGTTGCGCACGCATGTTGGGGAGGGTCCTAGGGCGGTTAAGGGTGTGGAAAGGGAAACCGGATAATTGGCCAGAGGTAAACAGAGACCCGGAAGAACTGCCCTGTATGAATGACTTCACCGCCTCTTTCCTGGGGTCCTCCTCATTGGGGGGCGCCCCCACCCTTTCTCTCTGGGGAAGGTGAGTGGTTAAGGTTAGGGCGTCTCTGCCTTGCTTCTGTCTTAACTAAACAAACTGTTTCTCTGTGAGCTCTGCCACGGGTTGTGCTGTCTCTAGTAATAAACTTTGTACCTGTTTTTACAGTTTTCGCCTCCTTGAGAAATGCATTTTTCAGTGGGGGCAAGGGCCAGGGGAACCTTGCTTCTGGCCCTGAGCCCCTGGGGGACTAGCAGCTGGGATTCCTGGTTTTCATCCAGGCTGCCCAGGCCCACTTCCTGGGCAGGGAACTAAGATCTTGCTTCAAGCCACGGCTCACTGCTCCGTCTCCCAGCCCACGCCCGCCACGGCGCGCGTCTCCTTCTGACAGGAGCACAGACCCATCCCAGGGATTTGCCCCCAGCCAGAGGAAGGGGAGTGGGCTGACGGCAGGCCTGCTGCCCCGGGGGCTGAGGCAGGCTGGCCGGCCACCCAAACCGTGCGGGACCTCCACCGGGAGCTCCCATGGGAATGCCCCCCCCCGCACCCAGCCCTGTTCGCCCTCCCAGAAAGGCGGCTTGGGGCAGGGGCTCTGGGAGACAACCCCCTCCCCTTCAGTACCTCCCTTTCACAGATGGAGAGAGCCTCGGGCTGGTGCCCACCTGCCCAGACCCCCGAGCTTGGGCTGAGGTGCCGTAGAGGGGCTGCCGGAGCAGTCCGTGGGGCCCGGGGACGGAGGGGTGGCCCCCGGTGGCCAGGGCTCCAGGCCAGCCCAGCTGGGTGTCACCGGCCACCCCAGGCAGCATCTTTCGTGTTGACAGTAAGCGTTAGGGCTCACAGTGCTTCCCCGGTTTGGAGTGCCACAGGGCCAGACAGGCGGCAGTCAGGCGAGGATGAGAAAGGCCGCAGGGCAGTTATAGCTCCAGGAGCAGAGCCAGCGCTGGGATGGGGCTGCCATGATGGCCGTGACCCCGGGCCAGCCCAGAGGGCGGAGCGTGGGAGATGCAACCCTGCTGCTCTCCCTGCCATCAGGCAGCTGTGCCGTCCCCTGCCCGCTCTGCTCTGGGGGCCTCACGGGAACCAGAGAGAACCCCCAGCCCAGTCTCCTCACCCAGAGCCCCCCCAATCCCATCCCGGAGGCTGAGACCCTCAGTTTCCCCAGGGGGACCTAACTTCTCCCAACGCAGGCTGGGCGCTCCGGGGGGACCAGGAGTCTGGGGCATGCAGGGCCCCGCGGAGGACACGCTGTGCACTGTCGGCCGGAGACACACAGGCGAGTGGCCTGCGGGGGCCGACGAGATGGAGTGAGGGGCTTAGGCCTTACCTGCTTTCTGCACCAAGGGCAGGACCACCAGGGCCCAGGCCAGGGCCCGGCACCCGCTCTGGGCACCCATCCTGAGGCCCAGCACGGCGGTGGGCAGGCGGCGAGGAGGGAGTGGGGCACGACGCTCGCTTCCCTGGGGGCCCTGGGGCTTATATAGTGGGAAGCCTTGGCCCCGTGCCCAGCTCCTGGGCCACGCAGGGTGCTGTCCTCTCCCCACGGCAGCCACGTGTGTTTGCTCTTGGGGAGGGGCCGTGGCACACAAGAGCCTAGAGGAGGAAGGATCTGCGGCTCTGGGCCCCAGAGGTGCAGGACCCCTCCCCCACGCCCCAGCCCGCCGCTTCTGAGATCAGGAGAGAAAGCATGGATGGAGCCGGAGGGTGGTGCTGGCAAAGCCCCCACAAAGCAGGGCCGCCTCGGCCTGCCTGGGTCCCGCCTTGCTGCAGCCCCGCGCCCGCGATAGGATGGGGCCCGGGTAGGGTGCGGTGTGTGGGCAGCTGGCGGGCTCAGACCCCGGGGCAGCACCTCCCGGGAGCCTGGCTGAGGCGGTCAGGGGGGATTGGAGGGGAAGAGGCAGCCGTGGGGGAGCTGCCCAGAGGTGCTCACCACCCCATCCCCGAGGGGTGAGCAGGGGCTGCGAGGCCATCGCTCCGCCTGGCGGGGGCGGCGGGGGTCCTGCTCGCTGCGGGGTGCGCATGCCATGTATGGAGGGGGGTACCAGTCTGCAGGCTCCCGGGGGTCCCAGAGCTCCCAGCTGTGCCAGCAGGACCCTGCCAGGCCTCTGGGCCCCTCTCTGTCACCAAGTTCAAACTCAAGGGGAAACCGAGGCCCTGAGGATGGACGCCCTGGCGCGCACGCCGGGACTGGCCAAGGCAGGGCCAGGGGCTCCCAGCCTGGGTCCTGTTTGACCCTCACCTCATGCCCAAGGCCGGCAGGTTAATCCCAGGGAAGGGGCACAGAGGAATCCCAGACCCACCTGGGGTCCCCAGCCAACGGCAGGCTGAGCAGGGACCCTTGTACACAGTGATGTGCCCCCGGGGCCCCCCGCAGGGCTGACGGGGGGCACTGGGGGACCAGGGATCTCTAAACCCCAGTACCTGCCCCAAGCTGGAGCCACGAAGGCCTGCTCCCCCGACTGGTATGGCAGGTTTTGGGGGGGCCCTCGTCAGTGCAGCCCCCCAGCCACACTCCTCCCCCCGTCCATTCCCTCCTCGGGCTCTGGCTCTCAGCCACTGGGTGTCCTCACCCCAAACCTGCTGTGTCTGAGCACAGGACGGCTGGGGGGCGGGGTGCACAGGCCCCCCCACCCACCCCCGCCCTGCCCTCCGCCCTGCCCTCCGCCTTTGTCTTTCGGATAAGTCCGTTGAAGTGGAATTTCTGGGGCAAAGGGAAAACCCATCTTAAAGCTCTAAACGTCTTTTACCGACGTCATGCCCCCAGCTTGGCCAATGGCCCCACAGGTCCTTCGTCTCCTTTTGGTTCCTGGTGTCTTTGGGGCGTTTCCGGCACCAGCAGCAGCATGGGGGCTCCTGCAGCCCTAGGCCCTGGGTCTCACCTCGGGCTCAGACCCCACTCACTGCCCGCTTCTGGGACCCCAGGGCAGGCGCTCAGGCTGCCCTCCAGCTGCCCCTCCCCCATGCTCACTGTCACCTCCCGGCCTGGGGTGCGTGATCTCCAAAGTTCTCTTTCACAGCCAACCCAGTTGTCCCCTCTGCAGAGGGCACAGCTGGAGGGGCCTCTGGGGGAGGGCTGGGTGGGGCCCCTTGCAGAACAGGCCTGGAGGGTGCGCTGGACCCCTCCCTCCACCCTCCTACCCCCCCGCCCTCCGAGCTCTCAGGCTGTGGCTGGGCCTGGCCTTCCTGCCCTCGCTGCAGGCCAACAGCCGGTGCTCGAGGCTGTGGCACCTGGTCCCTCATGTGGGTGGGGAGTGCACACAGCCCGGACCCCTGAATCCACCCAAAGGAAGGAAGGAAGCAGGGAATCTGGCCTCCCAGACTGAGCCCCCATGCCCGCCTTCTCCCCGCTCCCCGAAGGCTCAGCTCTCAATCTGTGCCCCTGGTCCAGAGCTGAGCTGGGCGCCTTCAAGGCTGGCACATCCCTCCGCCCGCCCTGGGTGGCCAGCACCACACAGCCATCAGAGGGGCCCCGCCAGCCCCAGTCCCCACGAAGGTCGGCCCCTTGCTCCGCACCCCCCAGCACCACGTGTGAGCAGCCTGGGCGCCTCGGCCCTCGAGGACGTTATCTCTTCAAGCTTCAAGGTTATCGTCTGCCCCCCACCACCACCAGCACCCCGGAATGAACACTCCATGTGGCAGGGGCCTGGCCCATCTGTTCACAGCTGGCACACAGTAGGCACTCAGTCAGTGCAGCGGAAGACTGAGGGGGCGGACGGCTGTGCCGTGGCCCGACGCTGCCCTTTCCCCCCAGGAGCACCACCCTCGGGCAGGGCTGGCCGTGGGGGCCGCCAGGGTCGCAGGATTGAGACATCCCGGATGTGGACCGCCAAGCCCAGCCTGTTTGCCCAGCGAGTTTACCCCTTCACAGTTGAGAGAGCCGAGGACAGAAGAAGAAGGAAGCGAAGCGCAAGGCTGCTGGGAAGGAGAGCCCGGGCCAGGCCTCCCGGGGCTTGGGGAGGCCACAGGGACGTGCCAGGGACCTGCCCCGCCTGGGGCGCACCCTGTCCCGCGCTCAGCCTGCAGAGCCCGCAGGCAGATGTGATCCCACCCCCGAGAAAAGACCCCACACACACAGAGCCCAGAGCTGGGCTGCCCCGGCCAGTCCCTCGGCCCTGTTGGAAGCCCCTGGAGGGGTCATCACAGAACGCTGGGCGCCCTTCTCAGCGCACCCCTCCCTGCCCACCGGCCTCTCACTGCAGCAGTGCGGAGTCAGGGCCAGGGGCACTGGGGTGCATCAAGCTTCAGGTATTTATCGAGCGCTGGCTGTTTGCCCAGCTCCACACCGGACACCATGGAGGGTTCAGGAGTACAAGGTATGGCCCTGGGGGCGTCAAAGGCCTGGCTGGCTCTAGGCCTGCTCAGAGCCCGGCCCCTGGCCGTCTAGGAATACAGGCCTTCTGCACCTGCTGCCTCTGCGGGGAGTGGAAGCCTCCACTTGGCCGATGGGGTGCCCCCCGCCCTGGTCCATACCCGGGGAGTGTAGGGGAGGGGGGATCAGGCTCCACCGGGGCATCCTCGTCCCCAGAGCGGCCACCATGGTGAGAAAGGCTGTGCCCACTCCCCTAACCCTGTCCCAGGGCTGCAAGAATGTGGAGACCCTCCCCCAGGAAGCCCCTGCCCTGTGTGAAGACCAAGACCCCCCACCCCCACCCAGCATCTTCTTCTATTTCCTGGTCTTCACACAACCCCTTTTCTTGCCCGTTTCATCTCTCCGTCCCTCTCACCCTCCTTCCCTCCTTCCTTTCTGCCTCTAGCAAATTCTGAGCCCCAAGCCCTGGGGATTTGACGTGGCCAAGGAAAAGAGAGGGCCCCGTTGGAGCTCACAGCTCACTGGCCATATAAGGGAGCAGTGAGAGCTTTGAAGGAACCAAAGCTCTCTGTGGGGCTAGGGTGACATTGAGCTGAAGGAAGGGGAAGAGGCAGCCTTTAGCAAATTAGGGAACAGCAGGTGCAAAGGGCCTGGGGCAGGGATCAACATGGCTCCTTGGAGGGTCTGAAGGCACCTGGTGTGGCTGGTACTGGGGCACCTGCAAGAGGGGAGCTGGCTGTGGCGTGGGCAAGGCTGGACCAGGGGAGGAGTCAGGGTTTACTCTGAATTTGGGGGGTACAGTTTACTGGAGCATTTAAAGCAGGGAAACCATAGGGGATTTTTTTTTTTTTTGTCTGTGTAGAGAAATGTATATAACTTAAAATTTACCATTTTAAGTGTACATTAACTGGCATTAAGTACATTCACGGTGCTGTGCAACCATCACCACTATCGTCTCTAGAACTTTTTTATCATCCTAAAGAGACTCTACGCATTAAACAACTCCCCCTCCCCCTCCCCCCGGCCCTGGCCCTGGCCCGGTCCTTCCTACTTTCTGTCTCTGTGAATTTGACCATTTTAGGTCCTCGTGTAAGTGGAATCATACGGTGTTTGTTCTCTTGTGACTGAATTATTCACTGCACAATGCCTGTAAGGTTCATCCACATGGTAGCCTGTGTCAGAATTTCCTTTTTTTAAGGCTGAATAATACTCCATTGGATGACTATACTACGTTTTGTTTATCCACTCATCCTTTGATGGACATTTAGGTTGTTTTCACCTTTTGGCTATAGTGAATAAGGCCATGGCGTCATCAACACGACGGTGTAAATACCTGAGTCCCTGCTTTCAATTCTTTTGGGTACATACCTAGGAGTAGAATCGCTAGATCATATCATAAGTCTATGTTTAACTTTTTGAGGAATCACCAAACAACAGAAGCATTTTACATTCCCAGCAGCAGTGCACAAAGTTTCCAATTTTTCCACATCCTTGCCAGTACTTCTTATATGTCCTCTTTTTTAATGATAGCCATCCTAACAGGTATGAAGTGGTACCTCACCATGGTCCTGATTTGCATTTCTCTAATGGCTATTGATGTTGAGCATCTGTTCCCGTGATAATTAGCTGTTTGCATATCTTCTTTGGAAAAATGTCTATTCAAGTCCTTTGCTCATTTTTGAGCTGGGTTGTTTGTTTTTTGTTGTTGTTGTTGAGTTTTCGGAGTTTTTTTTGTTGTTGTTGTTGTTTTTTTGCGGTACTCAGGCCTCTCACTGTTTTGGCCTCTCCCGTTGTGGAGCACAGGCTCCGGACGCGCAGGCTCAGCGGCCATGGCTCACGGGCCCAGCCGCTCCACAGCATGTGGGATCCTCCCGGACCGGGGCACGAACCCATGTCCCCTGCATCGGCAGGCGGACTCTCAACCACTGCGCCACCAGGGAAGCCCAGGAGTTCTTTTTTTAAAAATTTATTTATTTATTTGGCTTCGTTTCTGTGCGAGAACTCTCTTTAGTTGCGGCGAACGGGGGCCACTCCTCATCGCGGTGCACGGACCTCTCACTGTCGCGGCCTCTCCCGTTGCGGAGCACAGGCTCCAGACGCACAGGCTCAGTAGTTGTGGCTCACGGGCCCAGTTGCTCCGCGGCATGTGGGATCTCCCCAGACCAGGGCTCGAACCCTTGTCCCCTGCATTGGCAGGCAGAAGGAGTTCTTAATATCCTGAATATTAATCCCTAATCAGATATATGATTTACAAATATTTTCTCCATTCTGTGTTTGTCTTCTCACTCTCTTGATAATGTCCTTTGATGCAGAAAGGTTTTAGTTTTGATGTAGTCCAATTTATCAATTTTCTTTTGTTGCCTGTGCTTTTAGGGTCATATCCAAAAATCATTGCCAAATACAGCATCACAAGGATTTTCCCCTAATTTTCTTCTAAGACTTTCATAGTTTTAGCTCTTACATTTAGGTCTTCGATTTATTTCGAGCTAATTTTCATATATGGTGTCAGATAAGAGTCCAACTTCACCCTTTTGCTTGTGGATATCAAGTTTTCCCAGCACCATTTGTTGAAAAGCATCCTTTCCCCTATTGAATGGTCTTAGCACACTTGTCAAAAACCAATTGACTGTGTGTGCCAGGGCTTATTTCTGCACTATCTGTTCTATTCCATTGGTCTACGTGTCTGTCTTTATGGCAGTACCACAGTGTTTTGAGTACTGCAGCTTTGTAATAAGTTTTGAAATCAGGAAGAATGAGTCTTGCAACTTTGTTCTTCTTTTTCAAGAGTAATTTGACTATTCCCTTGAGATTCCACATGAATTTCTGTATGGATTTTTCTATTTCT